AGCTGTCCTCTATTCTGTTCCAGGATCCCACATTATATTTTGTCATCACGTTTCCTTAAGCTCCTGAGATGTAATTGTTCCTCAGCTTTTCCTTATTTTTGTTGACCTGGGCAATTTTGAAGAGTAGTGGTCAGGTATTTTGTGGAATGTTCTGACATTGGGGTTTGACTACGGTTTTTCTCAATACTAGACTGGGGTTATTGATCTTTGGGAAGATCTCAGAGTGACATTTCATGGCGTCATACGAAGTACATACTATCAAGATCCCACTGCTGATATTGACCTTTGATTAGGATTAAGGTGATATTTGTCAACTTTCCTCACTGTTAAAGTTACTTTTCCCCCTATTTCCATATTGTACTGTGTGGAAGGAGGTCAATATGTGCAGCCCACACTTAAAGACAAGTTATGTTTGTCTACTCGGGAAAGAATTTTCTATGTAAGTTTTTTGGAATTTTTGTGTATGAGATATTTGTCATTTACAACTCTCCCTAGCATTACACGTTAGGGTTGTTGTGAGATTTACATGAACAATAAACAGTCTAGATGTTTAAATTTCCACCATCACCACCACCACCATCATCATCATCAATCTTTCTAGGGAAGGATCACAAGGATCTCTGTGTGATTTTCTTGAAGTTCACAGGGAGGGGAGAAATGACAGCTTGCCAATTCTGTTTTTCCTAATGAACATCATTATCTTTAGATTGGGGTTAAAGGCTGTAAACTGCAAGGTGGATTAAGCTGAGGTTCTCCCAGAGCCCTGCCCAGAGTCCTCTTGTACTCATAGCCAGCCTTTCCATCACAAGCCATGCAGAGTGGGATAGCATTCCCAGAAGGGTCCATTAGGGACCCTTGGTGCATGATCTCCAAAGACTGGCAGCCCCTTGGCCAATGAAGAAGCCACACCAAAGCCATGGTGACTGAGTCACAGCAGGCATCTGATGTCTCATTCCCACCACTGAAGTTTCTTTTAAATTATTTTTATAATATTTGGCAATGTATTGCTACATGATAGGCCCTTAATTTTTTAAATGCTGTGCTCAGAATAAGATGAAATCTGTTGTTAATCTTAGCTTCTAATCAATACAGAGGCTTCCTCAAGAGCTCCAAGCTCTGTACCCATACAGCACTCTGCAGTCGATGGGCTTGCTGATGGCTGATCTCATTTTAAATGCATTTCCACACATTCCAGTGTCCCCTTGGTGCTGTTCAGCAGCTACACTCCCTTCCCAGTTCTCCCACCCTCCTGATTAATAAGCATGCTCACCTCCCCTGTCTTCCTGATCAGATTCCTGTATCCCAAGGAAATTAGAAGCCATCAGAAAAAGACCTGCAAGCTCCCACCTCCCGATCCACCTACCCAGAAGCCAGACCTTTATTTTTTTTTTCAATGAAGTTTTTATTTATTTATTTAATTTTATTTGGTAACTACATGACAGCGGAATGCATTACAATTCTTATTACACATGTAGAGCCCAATTTTTCCTATCTCTGTATATAAAATATGTTCACACCAATTCATGTCTTCATACATGTACTTTGGATAATGATGTCCATCACATTCCACCGTCATTGCTAATCCCCTGCCGCCTCCTTTCTCCTCCCACCCCTCTGCTCTATCTAGAGTTCGTCTATTCCTCCCATGCTCCCCCTCCCTACCCGACTATGAATCAGTCACCTTATATCAGAGAAAACATTTGGCATTTGTTTTTTTGAGATTGGCTAACTTTACTTAGCATTATCTTCTCCAACGCCATCCATTTACCTGCAAATGCCATGATTTTATTCTCTTTTATTACTGAGTAATATTCCATTGTGTATATATGCCACATTTTTAATCCATTCATCTACTGAAGGTTGGTTCCACAGTTTAGCTATTGTGAATTGTGCTGCTACAAACATTGATGTAGAAGCCAGACCTTTATATTTGGCTTTTCTTCTCTTTGAAGCAGATGAAAGGTGCAAGTTCACCTCCTCTGCACGCAGTGAATCTCTTCCTCCTCAACTTCTCAAAGTCCCACACCCCAGGTCTCCACACACTCCCTTATATCATCAGTTTTTCCTTCTCTATTAGATTATTGGCACCAGCATTAAAGCACTGTTATTTCTCCCATCTTGAAAACAAAACAGCACAGAATCTTTTAAAATATCTTTTAAAAGTTTAATTATGATTACCATTGTAATTATTTCTAATTATGCAGTTCAGTAATAGCATGTATATTCACATTATTGCACAACCAATCTCCGGAAATTTTTCATTTTTCAAAACTAAAGCTCTAAATTCATTCAATAGCAATTCATTCCCTCCTTCCCCCAGGCCCTGGCAACTGCCACTCCACTTTCTCTTTGAATTTGACTTTTGGCGGTTGTCAATGGTGCTCTATGTATATGAGTATACAAATATCTCTTTGAGATCCTACTTTCAGTTCTTTTGGTATGTGCTCAGAAGTGGCTTGCTGGGCCTGTCGTATGGCAGTTGTATTTTTTTTTTTTTTGAGGAAATGTCTTTCACTTTTCATAGAAATGTTACATTTTACATCTCTACCAACAGTGCACAGGAGTTCCAGTTTCTGTACCACCTCACCAATATTTGCTATTTCATGGGGGTTTTGTTTGTTTGTTTACTAGTAGCTATCTTAACGGGTGCAAAATCTTTTTTGTACCTAAGGGGCAAAAATCCTTTTTTTTTAAACATTTATTTTTTAGTTGTAGGTGAACACAATACTTTTATTTTATTTTTATGTGGTGCTGAGAACCCAGTGCCTCACGCACGCTAGGTGAGAGCTCTTCCTCTGAGCCACAACACCAGCCCCAGGGGGCAAAAATGTTTTAATCCTACTATTCCCTCTTTGTTTTTTAATTTCTCTATTTATCAAGATATTTATTACTTCATTATTATAATTTTATCAATGAAGGTTTTTACACAATATTTATGAGATTTCCAGACATTGTACAGTTTTTGATTTTGTGAATGGAAGTTTTGTCATTGTTTTCTAATGATTTATTACTTATTTGCAGGAATTGATTGATTTTTGACAGTTTCTTTCACATATTATACAATTTACACCTTTAAAGTGTATAAAGCAGGAGTTATTTGTTTAAAATACTCAGAAATATGAGCAACCACCTTCACAGTGCCTTTGCTTTTTATTTATGTATTTATTTTGGTGCTGATGATTGAAGTCAGGGTCTTACACAAGTGAAGCATGCATTCTACCACTGAGCCACCCCCCCAATCCTACACAGTGAGTTTTAGGATAAGTTCATTACCTCAAGAAAAAAATCAATATCCTTTTCCCTCTTTTTATGTCTAGTCTCTTCTCCCCTTTATGACAAAATTCCTTGAATGAGTTGATTACTTCCTGATCCCAGTGCCTCTCTCCCATTATTTCCTAATCTTATTCCAATCAGGAACCACCTCATTTTAAAATTTCACCCCAAAATACAACTTCTCAATTGCCCTTCCCATGCCCTTTCCCTGTTTATTTTCCCATCAGTTCTTATCACCATATAACAGTCAATATATGTATTTAAGTATTCCATTTGTTGTCTGTCTCCCACAATAGAATGTAAATTCTATAAGGGTAAAGATACAATTTTATTTCATTTGCTTTGTTCTCTGTTGTATCCCCAGCAATTAGAAGAGTGTCTTGCATAAAACAGTTCCAAGATGCGTGTTTGTTGAATAAATGTAGAATGACTGGGTAACTAGCAGTCAATACTTTTTACCAACCACTGATAATATTATTCTATCCTAAAAGTACAGGCTATGGATGGGGACTATTCATATGTTAACAACCGAATAGACAACCTTGCTACTCAAAGTGTGGTCCAAAGTCAGTACCACCTATGATCTCATTAGGATGCAGAATCGCAGGTCTGACCCCAAACTCCTGAGTCAAAGTCTGCCCTCTAAGGAAACTCATCAGGAGGTTTCTTGGCAAAAGTTGAAAAGCTCAGGGATTGAGGGACAGCCTTCAACTTAACTATGTAATAGAATCTGAGTACCTTTTGAAACTCCTGACACCTGGGTCCCACTTCCAGAAACTGACTTTCTTCCTCTGGAATGAGGTGCAGACAGGTCAGTGGTGAAGAAGGTTAGTAACTAATGGCTTCGCTATTTGGGGGTAGAGAGCTAAGATTAAAAGCTTGTCTTTGTCCCAAGCTTGGTACAGAGAATGATTTGTTGATATTGATCTTATCAATATCATCTCCACCAAATTCCTTAAGAGCAGATTTTAGCTCTTCATTTGTGGTTTCAAATGAGATCTTCAAGGTGGCTGCTGCTCACTACCAGGAAAGGCACTCCTGTCCACATCCAGGCCAGCTGCCGAGAGTCTGCTGCAGGAAATAAGCACAGAGCAGTGTCAATCCATGGAGGGATGGCTCCTGCTTGCTTTCTTTTCCAGAAGGATCCAGTGATCTTTGCAAGTAGAGAGCTCAGCAGAGAGTGAGGAGTGCTTCAGGGTCAGTCTCCTGGATGTGGGCAAAGCTCTGTCTACAGGATTCTAGAGAGCACAGGGACACAGGCGGGGGACTGTCCCTCCCATCCTGTGTCCTGCACTCATAGGGCTTATTAGTGACACTTTTGTTGTTGTTATTGTAGATGAACACAATACCTATATTTTATTTATTTATTTTTATATGGTGCTGAGGATCGAACCCAGTTCCCCTCACACATGCTTGGCAAGCACTCTGTCACTGAGCTACAACCCCAGCCCCACAACCAGTGACACTTCTATACCTACTGCTTGGCACCATCATTTCCTGGGTGGCTCCACTATAAGGGTGTGGTGCAGAGCTGACCTCTGAGTGTAAACCCCCAATATGAATCTTGATGATGAACTTGAATCTGAACCACATCCCTCCAAGCAGCACAATAGGAAAGTTCAGGTGCATGATAGAGAACAGCAGTTAACTGATCTCCAGGAAAGATTCTGGAAGGGCACGGAGAACGTTTCTAGGTTTCCACTGACCACTTGGGCTCTCTCTTGCAGCTCAAGTCTCGGGTGCTCATGACTCCTTTAGCCCTCTCACCTCCGAGGAGTACTCCAGAGCCCGACCTCAGCTCGATCCCTCAGGACGCAGCCACCATACCCAGCTTGGCAGCCCCACAGGCTCTCACAGGTAGGTCAGCAGGATGGACTCCAAGGCTGTGATGGTCTGTAGGTAACGGCGTGGCCCACCATTTAACAGCTCCTTTTTGTACTAAAATGGTGTCACTGAGACAGATGGACGGATAGGGCAACCAGATTCTCTGAAAATATGAGTTTACTTGCCTTGCAGTTTAGATCATTTGAATCTTGGTTTTCTATGCAATTTGAGATCAACTGGTTGCTTGGGGGTGGGACAAGAAAGTGTGGCTAGGTGCTTCATTTCAGAGCCAAGTTTCTGGTGTACCAATGGGAGCCTGCTGACCTCAAGAATGTTTCCATGTGTGTGTTTGCACTTCAGATCCCCTAAGAATAATCTCCTTTAGCCCCACATAGTACCCTCTAGTGTGGGCAGGTTGTGTGCATCCTAGTCTCTCTAAAAGAACACCCACAACAGTTTCATTCTAATAGTGACAGTAATCTGATGTGCCCATCTGCCCGTGCGCATGCGCGTGCGCATATATATATATATATATATATATATATATATACACACACACACACACACACACACAAAGAGTGATCCCCATCACAGTCCCACTGGCTGCTCCCATCCCACTTAAGTCCCTCAGTCCCCTCCCATAGCTCTTGGGTAAAGACCAAACCTGTTAATATAGCTGAAGAGGCTTTACTGGCTCCACCCGCTGGGGTCCTGCCTACTGCCCTTCAGTCAGTCGCCAGGGCTGGCCATAGGGTCTCAGCACATCCTCCTCCATCTGGAATGAGCTTCTCTTCAGGTGGGTCCTCCTTCCTGCCTCGGCTCAGGCACACCTCCCTCTAGAAACCCTCCTTGCCTTTCCTGCCACCAGTTCTGCTGGTGACCTGAGCTAGCTCCTCCCTGTTGTCCCTCACAGACTCCTGGCCTCACCCCAGCTCCTGTGTAAAGAGGTCCACCTCCCTCCAGGACCATGGGCTCTGTGAAGGCCTGGGCTGGGTCACGTTGCTCAGTGCCTGGCACAAAGACCCCTTGTTAATTTGACTTTCTTTACCATCTGGGAGGAGTAGAAAGGAGATGGCCCCAGAGCGTGAAAGAGCCCTTGTCTTCAGAAGGACTTGAGTCCAAATCCCCGTCACACCATGGACTTCAGGCTTCAAGCTGTCTTCTCAGTACTTTCAGCCTAGTTCCTTCCTTGGTTGAGCAGAACTGATAATACCCAACTCTCAGGCTTGTCTTGAGAACATAAGAGGTGCTCAATAAAAGCAAGCTTTCTCCATCTTTCCTGTTACTGCTTAACCTTTCCAAAGTACATTTGGTCTCCTCTTAAGGAGATCTTAAGTTCCTCTTCAGGCTGGGGATATAGCTCAGCTGGTAGAGTGCTTGCCTCTCACGCACAAGGCCTTGGGTTCAATCCCCAGCACCACACACGCATGCAAAAAGTCCCTCTTCAACACTCCCTTGCTCAGTGGCCACTCAGGTAAGATGCTTATATCCTGGGAGGGTGGGGTGTGTCATGATGGAAAGGGCAGACACTTAAACTGGGGGTGTTAAGTATGGAAGAAAATTCTGCACCTGCTCTTAACATACATTTTTATCTCATCCTGGTAAACTTCTATTTTTTAGATATGTTTTAGAATATAAATAAATACCTGTGAGACCAGCCTTTACTATGTCACTGAAAGGGAGAGAACAAATTTTTCCACCTTATTTGGGTTTGATTCTCTCCAGGGGTGGGCTAGAGAACTCTTTGCTTACGGAATGTGGCTTGATTTCAAGGACAGTGAGAAACTTTGGGCTTTTCTAAGCAAGGTGATAACAGCGTAACTGTTATTTTAAAATCTGAAAACAAATGTTCTGGTAGTAGGGGACAGGAAATAGGCTGACCCATGAGGAAACTATTGTCAAATTATAGGTAAAATAGATGTTTTGGGGTGGGAGATTATGTCATTGTCCTAGAACAGAATTAAGTTGAACTTGTGTAAACTAAGTGGGAGCCCCTCAACCACCTGCCTAAGTCACTTATATTGATGATAATCAGCTCTGTGGGTGGTCTTCTCTGTAGGAATGTTTTCTCCTTAAGAAGGATTTAGGAGACATTGCCTTTTCTTTAGAACTTCGAAATTCATAAAAATTCCCCTGTAATTTACTGAAATCTATTGTATATGGAAAATCAGTATTGTAGACATTCTAACATTTTCTATAGCTTTATATTACATAAATTTGATACTTTCCTGTAAAAAAAATGTATACAATACATTAATAGAGTTAAGAATGTAAATAACCTCTACATAGATAAACACAATTTGAGATATATTTTCAAAATTTTTGTACTGATATCTTATTACCTTTGGGGATCATTGATTGAGCTCCCCTAAATGGGTTGTCAAACATTTGTTTTCTCTGAGATTATGAATAGCACTCTCTTTAGAACTTCATTGAATATGTAGTCTCTGGAGTGATTGGCATCATGTTAGTTTTTTATTCATGGAGAGTTCACAAAGAAATGGCCAACTTTATGTTTAGACTGACAGCTCCCTTGGATGAGGAATATTTTGTATGTGTGCTTGCCCAGAGAGGAAATACATTTATACTCACTGTCCTCCTGGGTCACCTTATCAGTGACCTGAGTGCCTCAGAAGGGATCCCCCTGTATATGTGCTTCTTGACAGGAGACTCCTTTGAGAGCAAGCCCTGGAAGGTGGGGTGTCTGGTGCTTTTTTTTCCCCTCTTTTGCTTTTTAAGTTGGGAAGAATCTGTGCTGCTTCTGAGATTTTCAGTTTTCCCAAGGTCAAGGCCAAAGGCACAGGTCTGTAGAGTCCCCCCGGCATGGGGAGCAGCCAGCTGACCTGCTGCACATCTGATGCAAGGGCACTGTGGTCTCTGTTCCCAGTCTGCCTCTACATCAACAAGCAAGCCAATGCGGGGCCCTACCTGGAGAGGAGGAAGGTGCAGCAACTTCCTGAGCGCTTCGGCCCCGAGAAGCCATCCGCGGTCCTGCAGCAGGCCATCCAGGCGTGCATCGACTGCGCCCACCAGCAGAAACTGGTCTTCTCCCTGGTCAAGCAGGGCTACGGTGGAGAGCTGGTGTCAGGTGAGCCCTGGGGTAGGTCGTGCGAGGAGGGCTGTGGGGGTCTCCATGATGAGAAAGCAGCCATCCTCAGGTGGTGTGGCAGGGCCTGAACTCCTCCTGCTGGGCTCCAAGGACCAGGCTTCTGTCAGGGCTCAAGAAGTTGCTTCCAGAAAGAGACAAGAAGAATGGACATCTGAATCCTTTCTAGACTCTTCTGTCTCCCAATCCCTACTTCCAACCCTTCAGCAAGTCCGATTGCTCTACCTCCAAAATACATCTGGGATCCAATCTCCTTTCATCACCCATAGCAACCACTGTGATTCTTAAAAAAAAAAAAAAAAAAAAAAAAAATCTAAGTTAGATTATGTCCCTTCCTGTACCCTAATCCCTCCAATGACTCCCATGTCATTTCAAGTAAAATGCCAAGTCCTAAAAGGGGCCCATGGGCTTATATCCTGGCTATCTCCTCCATCTCCAGGTCACTTCTCTCATCCCCTAGTATGTGCTGGCCATGGTGACTCCCTGCTGTTCTACCTGCATCCTTCAACTGTGCTTCTGCCTCGGGGCCTTTGCACCATTTTTCTCTTTCTGGAATGTTCTTCCCCACATGTCCATGTGACTTGTTCTTGGATGTTCTCTAGGTTCCTACTCAGATGCCTTCCTTATCAAAGAGTCCTTTTCTGGCACCTGTCTAAAGCATCAGCCCTTGTCACTCTATGCCACAGTCTGGCTGGGCACACAATCACGAGCCACCACACAGCTTGTAGATTCAAACAGCAACTCTTTATTCCCGAACTCACACCAGCCGTCTACAAACACGTTCTGGGGAAATCCACATTCTCTGCCCAAATTCACCTCCACTGGGCTTCTCTCTCCCAAAATATACTGTCTGAATCCCGTGAGAACTCAAGGGGAACTCAGGCAGCAGGATACGCCCTATTCCCAGCAGGAATAATCTTAAACCTTAAACCTGGAACCTAAACTGGGAAAGCCCTAAACCCGATTATCTTAAACCGGGAACACCCTAATCCGCCCTGGTCCTTGAGCAAGGTCACCTACATTCAATGTCACTGCAAAATGTCAGCAACATGGGGTACGCTGGCAAGGAAATTGTCATACCTACTTGGCTAATGGCTCCCAGCAACTCTAGTCTTCCTCACTCCCTTCGTTACTCTCAGCACCCACCACCATGAAAGGTTCATGTTTTCAACCCCAATTCAGAGTTCATTAAAAAAAAAAAAAAGATCTCTCAATGTCAGAGAAATCCCTTTGCTGGCTGTCACAGCCCTCCTCCAGCTACAGCCCACACAGCAGCAGCTTCCAGAGGGAGCCCTGTTGCTCCCACCGCGTGAGAGGGGCAAGATGGAGAGCTCTTGTCCCCTTCAAATGTTTGCCTGCAAAGGCTCCTTCTGGTCTACCCCAGGCTCTACACAGTGGTTGCTCCTGCCTGCCCTTAGTCCCTGGAGCACCAAGCCCTTACAAGGGGTCTTGTCACCAAGGGGACAGCCTGGTGTCTCCTTTGGCTCAGCACTAGGGAGATGTCCTTCCAAAGCGTCAGGGATTCTCTGATTTTCTGGCAGTAGGGCCGTTCAGGGAACCTGGCTGACTAGCTAGCGGGGGGCTGCAGTCAGAGTAACCCAAGTTGCGTACTTCCTTTATCTCCAGCCGCCATGGCTGGGGGTGGGCAGGTTGTCCAGCTCTGCTTCCCTGACTCCATGGAGCAGGCTGACCTTTTGGAGTTCCCTCTCAGCGGGAAGCTGGGTCTCACTCGCTGGCGATTGATTTTGTCAAGATTGTGACTGCCCCAGAGTGATTTTTAACCCTTTCATTCCTTTGTTCCTTCCTTCCCTCCCTCCCTCTCTCTCTCCCTCCCTCCCTCCTTCCTTCTTCCTTCCTTCCTTCCTTCCTTCCTTCCTTCCTTCCCTCCCTCCCTCCCTCCTTCCCTCCCTCCCTCCTTCCTTCTTTCCTTCCCTCCCTCCCTCCTTCCTTCCTTCCTTCCCTCTCTCCATCTCTCCCTCCCTCCTTCCCTCCTTCCTTCCCTCCTTCCTTCCTTCCTTCCTTCCTTCCTTCCTTCCTTCCTTCCTCCCTTCCTTCCTTTCTTGTAGGGAGGGCTCTGGGGATTGGACTCAGGGCCTCACACATGTTAGGCTCTACCACTGAGCCACACCCACCCCCTGACCCATGGTAATTTCAAGACACTTTAGCAGAGAGGAGAAGAAGCACAGCATGGAGGGGGCAGGAGAGTTGTCAGGTTCTCCGAGAGCCCTTGGCCATTCCTATCCTGACTTCTGTCGGGAGCCGGGTTCTGGGTCCTGGGCTGCCCTTGAGGTTGAAGGCCTGTCCTTTTCCTTGCTGCATTGCATGGCAAAGGCACAGACCTGGGCTAGGAGCAGGCTCCTCCTCACACTGAGTCCACCTCCTGAGTGCCTCCTGTCTAAGTGCTTTGTGGTCCCTGTGCCTAAACTGCAGAGCTGACCCTGTGCCCTGCTTTCCTGCTCAGGCCTCTCTGTGGCCTCAGGGCCTTGGCACTGGGGAGGAGCAATGCCAGAGTGGACAGGACCTCACCAAGATTCCTTGGCTGACAGGAATTCCCAGGCAGACCACTTTCTCCTGGAGTCTTGGAGTAGGCCACAGCACAGAGCCAACTCCTCACACTGCCACCTTCGGGTCACTAAGCACGAGGTGGTTTTTTTGTGTTATAGATAAAGATGGAGGCTTGGCAAGGCTCCGTGACAGCACCAAGGTGGTTTAGGGAGGGAAGTGACTCCAGGACTCCTACACTCCACTTAGAAGCCGCTCTGTGTGGCACTGCTCTCTAAATGTCCCTACATCACGGCAAAGGATCACATGGGGGCTGGCACAACGGGCAAAGGAACCAAAGAGCTTGTGGCTACAGGAGGCTGCAGGGACCTTGGACCACACCCAGGGGTTAAGGGGACAGCATCACAGAGCCCTGTAACCCACTCCTGGAACACCTTTTGGGATGTTCTGTCTTAGCCATGCTGTCTCAGAGGAGTCAATTTTATGATCCCAGGAATTCCATGCCCTCCTATGAGAAGTGGGATTCCCCACTTTGGGGATTTCCCAAGCACTTCCGAGAATACATGCACATGGATTGATGGGACAGGCCTAAGCTCCTTGGAACCTCCTGCTGTGGGTTCCATTCCGTATCACCCAGGCTTTCAAGCTATCAGAGGCAAGAGGCTGTCTCACACTAAGAGGGAATTTCTAGAACAGCTGGGACAACAATGCCCTTCATAAGCATAATAGCAGCCCTTTGCCTGGACCTGGCAATTAGAGCCACCTGGAGTATTAAAATGAAAGGCAAGGTCACACAGAGGCCAGGTGAGCTGGGAAGTCACTCTGGCCTACTTTCTTCCTCATCTGCAGCCTGGGTCCACTGTCCTCGGGAGAATGGTCACAGGGCCTATGTGAGGTGGTAAATACCAAAGGTCTTGTCAAACTGGAAAGGGCTACATGAAAGAAATGGATTCTTTTGATTTATTATTACAATAGTATAATCCTGGGGTGAGAAAGGACTGTGAGAGAGATTCAGGAAGGTGCATGCTCAGGGCTTGAGGAAACAGATATTGCTTCTGCATTCTGGCAACTGTTTAGAAATTGAGTTTCTTTTTACTACAGAGAGATTATTTTCCTTTTATAAAGACTCTCCCCAAATGCTTCTCCAGAAGTAGCCCCTGAACTCTGGTTCAGGATTAGAATTGAACACCTCAATGTGAACTCGTGTTTATTTGGATGTATCAATGTATCTGCATCTATCTCCTTCTATAGATATGGACATAGAGACAGATACAGATATGGATACCTAGGTAGACCTGTAGATAGTGAGTAATTATAGCAGGCTAGCATACATACATACATTCTTATCTTTGTCCACTCAGAGGGCTTAGAATCACTGACACCTCAGTAGCAATGGGCACACCAGATGCCCCGATATAAATTTCTAAATATCATTCTTCAATGAAAGGAGTCAGGACTGTTGAAGGAATAGCCGGTGCAAGGAAAATACAAGATTCACTTGGAGCATATGGAAACGCTCAAAACCAAAGTGGTGCTAAATAAAAGAGAGGGCATGTCACAGGAGTTGACCTGTGAGAGCTCCCAAAGATAAAAGTCAGGGCAATTTGAGCAACAAAATAAATAAGGTAGTTTTGGACAACCCACGGTGTAACATAAGACTGCTGAGATTAAGACATGACTGAATAAATCACTAAACAGGGGACAACTCTTCCCCACAGAAGAATTTCAGACGGCATGTAGAATTCCCCTGCCCTCCTTGAGTGTGGACAGGCTGAGTGACTTGCTCCCCAGGAACAGGATATGGAGAACACAGCAGAGGAATGTGGGGCATGCTGTCTTGGCCAGGTGAGGAGATCGGGTCCCCCCTGATCTGAGGTCTGAAGGGCACTCCATCTCTGTGGTCTTCCTTTCCCCAAACCCATAACCTCATCTAACCATGAGAAAAACATCAGGCAAAACCAAACTGAGGGGCCTTTCACACAATACCTGCCCAGAACTTTTCAAAGCTGTCAAGATCAACAAGGAAAAGCTGAGAAACTGTCAGGACCCAGGAGACCAGGGAACTTGACAGCTAAATGCAATATGTCATCCTGGATGAGACCCAGGAACAGAAACATAGGGAGACAACAGGTGAAATCCAAACATGACTGACTTCAAACTGAACCCACACGGCCCTTCTCAGGGCTGGCTCATGGGCAGTTTTATCCTGTGTCCAGCTCTGAGTCACTGTCTCTGTGCTTTTCCAGTCTCGGCTTCCTTTGATGGGAAGCAGCACCTGCGGAGTCTGCCTGTGGTGAACAGCGTGGGCTATGTCCTGCGCTTCCTGGCCAAGCTGTGCCGCAGCCTCCTGTGTGACGACCTCTTCAGCCACCAGCCCTTCCCTGGGACCCCCAGTGCCTCCGAGAAGGCCCAGGAGCGAGAGGAAGGGCGGATGGAGTCAGGTAGGCCATACCTCAGGTGGGCCGGAGAGGTGACTGGGAGCTGGCAGAGCTGGCTGAGACTGAGGGGTCCCTGGACTGTACCCACCCCAGGCAGCAGCAAGAAGTGGTCACTTCAACTATTAAGCACTAACATTCAGGCTTTGAGGCTTGTGGTGATAGAATTCAGACTCCATCACATCTAAGGAGTGATTTTCCTCACTTGAGTATAATCTAGACGCTGGGTATCTGCTCATCATTATAGAGTAGTTGAAGGACTGGGAGACTATGGAATTAAGAGATCCCAAAGGATCCAGAGCTAAGAACAGGTGAAGGTGGTGCTGCCCGTGAGTCTCAGATGCCTGCCTGTGTGGAGAAACAGTGCTACGAGGTGTCTCTTACTGTAAGAATTTGACTGTATTTAAAAAATGTCTTAGTGAGAGCTGGTATTTATTTTGCCCATCAGAAGATGCGAAAGTAACCCAAGGGTTGAGCTTCTTTAGTACCAGCAGCCACAGAATAGCTCAGGACAGACAAGGCCACAGGGGCCACACTTGCCATGGTGTGGTATTGTCTGTCAGAGGGGCTGGATGCCCATGGGAGGGGCCCCTTCCCCACTTAGCAGCTCTGAATTATGGATTTGCAAAGAGTTGAATGTGTATCCCAAGGTAAGACAGAAATTTTTTTGCCTTTTGTCTTTTTCTGAAGGCAGCATTGTTGATCTATGAAAAGCACTCAGGTAGTAGAACTGGAACTGCCATGGGGTTATTCTGTAAGCAGAATCCTCTTCTGGTCCAGGCACTGTGTGAAACGGTCTTAGATAAGACAAATGCATCAACTAAGAAAAGTTTTTGAGGAACAGATGACATTAAAAATAGTCACAGGCCTGGGGTTGTGGCTCAGTAGCAGATTGCTCGCCTAGCATGCATGAGGCACTGGTTTGATCCTCAGCACCACATAAAAATTAAAAAAATAAGGATAACGTGTCCACCTAAAACTAAAAAATAAATATTAAAAAAAAAAAACAGTCATGGACAGATTTAGAGCATTCAACAAAAGGGTACTTAAAAAGAAGAGTGGCTAGGGCTGAGGTTGTGGCTCAGTGGTAGAGCGGTTGCCTAGCATGCATGAGGCTCTGGGTTTGATTCCCAGCACCACATACAAATAAACAAATAAAATAAAGGTATTGTGTCCATCTACAAATAATTTTTTTTTAAAGTGGCTATACCTCAAGCCCAGGAGGACGGCAGGGGAAGGATCAATTTAGATCCTTAGCATAGATTTTCTTGGAGACTATCAAGAACCTTGCTTATGGTTTTGCTTTTATCCCTCTGGGATATGGAAGCAGGAAGAAACTTGACTTTCACAAGTTTCCAATTGGTAGTAATTGAACGTGGTTGATGTAAGCAGATAACGTATTTGTCTGTGTTTTCCTTCATGTCTCCATGTGTGAGCTTGAAAAAGGCTTCTCGTCTCTCTGCACCCGTGTTCCCTATGTTCAGTGAGAGGCTGGAGGTGCTTTATAGAATGTTTCTTTGGGTTTTGATGGTTTATCAATCTGGCCTTTCTTATGAGCGTTAGCTGATTTGGAAACATTCTCAAGTAAATTTATTTTCTACTGAATCTTGCAACGAGATAGCAGAATGGTGTGATTTCTCAAACCCACGCCTCACTGCTCCATTGATCAAACAGTGGCCCATGGGACATGACATAAAGCCACATAATTCAAGTCTTCTACTATCCTCTACATTTATCTGTGGAATCAGTTTCTCCCTGTCTATGGATGGAAATTTAAGACAAATCTTATGATCTTTCTGGCTCCTTTTGTGTTACAAAATGTTCTCTAGTCAAGAATGAATGTGCCCAGGTCAGAGAGATGCTTGAACTTTCAATTTCATTCAAAGATACTGTACTGTTCTGCACAATCCTGGCTCAGGTTTGCCTCAAGCCAGCCACCTGCAGCACTAACAGAGGGCATGGTTGGCTTCCCTAACTATCCCCAGCGGGTGTTTCTGGCACCTCCCGTACCTACATCATCTTGACTTCAGGGCCCTTCACAGTAGTGTGAGGAAGGAGGGGAGAGGCGAGAGGCAGGAGAGCTTGCCAGGATCTGCTGTGAGTTGGCATCATGTTCCCTGACCCTGGCAAATGTTTTAAGCACATTCTTCATCCTGTGGGGTCTCACATGGATTCTTTGGTGACCCTATCATCTCTTGCCTGCACTTTCCTTGACATGTACAAATGCAGCTCTACTCAGGATGGTCACTTACAATTCCTTCCACAGTCCAAGACCTCTGGGGGTCACCTCCAGCTTCTTTCTGCTGAAGTGCCCTGTGCCTCCAGATTGTCCTGTGGAAGGATTCTAAGACAAACCCTCTTCAGATCTCTCTTCCCATGGCCTACACCCTGGTCCTTGAGAAGCATACACTCTGCCCCCAAAAAATCTGGATGTGCAGGCTGGTTCCTAAGGGCACCTCTCCTTTGTTCTGCCAGCCAGCTGCAGTCTCTTAGATCTCCTGTGGGCACTGAACAATCAGCCATTGTATCTCCCAAGCTCCAAGGTATTGGAGTAACAGACCCTCACAGTGTGTTCCCTTATGGCTGAAAAATACAGACTATTCACATGGCCATGCTGAAGCCATTGGGAATAGACTGAATGGTTCTCGCCACAATTTTTTTTTTTTTCTGGCCAATTGTTTTTCAGCTGCTGCGATCTGGCTTCCAGGCTAGATGTGGGTGGCATCTCTTGGTGTAAAACTGGCTCTCCACCACCTCTTGTTTTGCAAGGGCTGCCTGGTGACCTCACACTTTATTCTATGTAGTATCTGTTGTCTTGTGGCCTCGACCAAAACTAAAACTAAAATAGGTACATTTTGACATGGTATTCCAGGAGGGTGACAGCCTTCCTCAAAGCTGGCATGTCCAGCTGAGACTTGGTTTCCTTTCTAGTCATTCCTGGAGGAATGACCCCAGTGGCCCCTGACCCAAGACTCCTTTGAAAAACTAACAACAACTCTGTTTTAGTCAGCTTTTTCGCTGCTGTGATTAAGGATCTGACCAGAACAACTGTAGGTGAAGAAAAGTTTATTTGAGGGCTCACACTTTCAGAGGTCTTAGTCCAATAAGGCCGACTCCATTCCTTGGGGCTCGAGGTAATGCTGACCATCGTGGCGGAATAGTGTGGCAGAGGGAAGCAGCTCACATCATGGTGATCAGAAAGCAGAAAAAGAGAGTCCATTCACCAGATACAAATATACCCAAAGCCACATCCCAATTTTCACCTCCTCCAGTCATATCCTACCACTTCAGTTAATTCCATCAGTGATTAATTCACTGATTAGGCTAAGGCTATAACCCAGTCATTTCTCCTTCAAACCTTCTTGCATTATCTTCTACGTGAGCTTTTGGGGGACAGCACATCTAAACCATAAGAAGCTCCAAATCAAATACCCTTGTGGCAATAGCTCCTCATGCCCTGGGTGCTACAGAATCAAGTGCTGAGTCTTTACTCTTCAGGGAGCTTCAGGGAGAGGGCAGGAAGCAGTGGCCTGGTTGGCTCTGAGAAATCCCCTTGCCCATGTCTTTCCTACCAGTGTGCCATGATCCCTCAGATGACACCACTCAGGAGTTGGCCTTTAGCATAAGACACTGCCTCGTTAGAATTGCCTGTCACAGTCCCCTTGCAGTCTAACATATCAAGTTATTATTACGTTAGAGGAGGAATTCATTTATACCCACTTTGTCATCATTGTGACAGGAAGGGCCGTCTGCAGGAAGGGGTGGGAGCCTTTTGATATTAGACTCCATAGATATCCGTAGGACCACATTGTTCCTAAACAAGATTGTAAGGTCTTGAGCTCATTTGAACCAGAACAATGCCTGCTCCCATTCTGCCCCAAGATGTTCAGTCCAGGCCAGAATGTCTCAGCTTAGTGTCACATACTTAGAGGGTTTGTCACTGGAATGAGTCAAAAGGCAGCAATCCCTTGATATGAAAATGCAAAGCTATGACAACTTAGGAGCCATCCAGGGAAGTGGGATGCTATGGGAAGGAACCGGGAAGATATTGGGAGGACACGATTCCAGTGCAGGATAGCAGGTCATGTGCACTTTGTTCTTTGTGGCTGAAAAGCAGAAGTGAGACCCACTCGAAGGTAGATTTCATTAAATCAAAGGTCTTGCCACTCAAACTCTGGTCCCCTGAGGATGGCAGAGCTCAGCAGCCCTCCAGGACTTTGACAGCAGACCCCCAGCTGTTTTGAAGACACACTGAAATTCCAGAGGTGTGGATTTAAGCAACACTCCCCAGGTACAGAACTTGACAGTTAAATAATCAGGAAGAGCTCTGTGAAATCAATCCCCTCAAAGAGTCAGGTGGGGTTGACATCATAAAAGAGTTCTGAAAAGTCAAAGCCACTCAGAAGTAGAAGGGGCATCTTGGGTGGAAGGTCCTCATTACTGGTGACAAATATATGCACATATTCACCTATGAAGGCCACTAGAGGCACTTTGACAACCCAGAGAAGTAGGAACACGATGTCTCCTCTGGTCCTTTCCAGGCTAAGAGTCATGGGCTGGAGTCATGGCAGAGGACATCCCTAGGCAGCAGGAAGAACAGGGACCCCAGGAGTCCCAGCAAGGGGCCTTACAGAGGTAAAGGGAAGGACACCAGTTTTCTCCCTTGAAAAAACCTTCCTGGGAGCAGAGGCAGGGCTTCTTACAAATATCTTCCTCAGACTTTTGAAATATATCTTCTCTCTCCAAAAATCTTTTTCCTGGGCTGGGGTTGTGGCTCAGCAGTAGAGCGCTCACCTAGCATGTGTGGGGCCCTGGGTTCAATCCTCAGCATCACATAAAAATAAATAAATAAATAAAGGCATTGTGTCCAACTACAACTAAAAAATAAATATTTTTTTAAAAGAACCTTTTTTCTATTTCCAGGGAAATCCAGGTTTCAAGACCACCCAGCTGCAAGAGGTTAGTGTTCTTGGCTTGAATCAAGAATTGCGGGCCTATCCCTCCAATTCCATTAACTGTCTAAACATGGCTAGTGCTTTAGGAAGTAGAGCAGCCTCTGGATGCATCAGGAGATGGAGGCAGAAAGATGATCTGGTAACATTGGTCAGAAGTCATGAAATGATCCTGGGGAAAATGTTCTTTTATGTTTGGGTATTGAAAAAAAAAGTTGCAGGAATAAATATCCTTTAGTTGCTTTGCAAACTTGAATGTGCATGGGAACCACCTGGACTTCTTAAGAAAATGCCGAGATTCTGGCTAGCAGACTGGGGTGGGGCCTGAGCACCTGCTTCTAACAGGTTCTGCTGGTTGGGGCCACACTCTGAGTGATCAAGTGTGGGCTGGCAGAGCCCAGCTCACATAGGGAATTTTCTTTCAGTCTATCCACATTAAGATGCTTCCTTTTTGGTACAAATGTTGCTGCTGAAGATGATTCTGATGTCCAGTGGAGGCATTCCATGGTCTAGAGAAGAAGAGAGAGGCTCGAGGGACAGAGTGGTTGGGTGGAGGTGGCACAGCTACAAATCCAGGTGAGAAAGAGATGCGTAGATCCAGGAAGGAAGGTGAAACTAAGAAAGAATGACAGACAAATTTCTCAGTGTGGCCTGGCAAACTGCAACAGGGGGTCTGGTACCCTTAAGTCTCTTCCAGCCCTGAGAAGATGCCCATCTAATCTCCCAGGCCCTTCTTTCCACATCCATGACGGTTATTTGACTTTAGCTTATATTGTAGGACCCTAGGTCCAGAGCTCACCTCCCCTGCAAGATAGAACTGGGGGCAGGGCCACCCGTCCGCAGCAGAGCCTGTAACAGAACAAATACATACGAATATTTACTAGCTTGCATTCTATGCAACATAGCAGAACAAACTTCTATAGAAACCACAACTGTGAGAGCTGAACCCTTCTGCAAGATCTAATTGAGTAGCGGGTTTCCTGTCTTTTGAAGGCTTAGCATGATATAAACAAATTGTTTACTTCTTGTTGAGTGGCTTCTTTGATGCACAGATGGTAGGAGGTTGATGAGGAGGGTCATTTACTCCCCAGACTTGCTCTTTTCTTCCTTGGCTGTGGTCTTTGATCCTGGCACCAGGAAGTATTAGAGTAACAGACCCTCACGGTATGTTCCGTTATGGCTGAACCCGTACACACGACATTTGGAAAGCAAATCCGCTTCCCTGCTCAGTGACAGATTTGTCTAATATAATAGCTCTACAGAGAGTGACCACATGGAGGACATCTATCTTTCTAAAAGATTGCTTATTTCTAAAAGGGGATAGAGTATGTCAAGTGGCATGAGTGCCATTACAGATCCATCCATCTAGCCAGTTGTGGACATTTATTTAATGCAATGAGATGCACAGAGACCAGGCCACTTGCTCAGAGCCACATGGGAGGGCAGCCTCAGGAGGAGACTGCATGCAGGTCTTTTCTCCTGGCCCTTTGCTTGTCCTCCCAAGTCCTGCTACCTGTAAGCATCGCCCAACATTGGTTGGGAGGGGTGCACCCTGTTTCCCATCTCAGAAGGCTGACTGCACCAAGTGGATTTCACCTGGGCCACCTCTAGCAAAGAGGTCAGGGAACAAACCAAATCCCAGTCCCCTTCAGTGAAGCTGCAGTGGAAACCTCCCTCCAGAGAGGTGCATTCTCTCTCCTCCTTCTGGGTTCACCTTTGTGCCACGGCAACACTGGTCGCAGGCAGGCAGAGACGGCATCCAACCACCTGGAGAACTTTATCATCTTTAAAACCCCACCCCACCAGGCATGAGGCCCTGTTGAACCTGGTATTTTAAATATTATAAGAAATGGCAGAGCAGGAAGAAAGAAGTGAAGGGGAAGTTGTTGACTCATGGGCACAGAGTTTCTGTTTTACAAGATGAAAAGAGTTCTGGGCATAGATAGAGGTGATGAGTGCATAACATTAGGAATGTCATTAATACCACTGAACAGCACTTTTAAAAATAATCAACACAGGCCAGGCATAGTGGCATATGCCTGTAGTCCCAGCAGCTTGAGGGGAGGCTGAGGCAGGAAGATTGAAAGTTCAAAGCCAGCCTCAGTGACTTATGAGACCCCTGAGCAACTTAGTGAGACTCTGTCTCAAATTTTAAAAAAATAAACAGGCTGGGGATATGGCTCAGTGGCTAAGCGCCTCTGGGTTCAATCCTTGGTACCAAAACAGCAGTAACAAAAAAGTCAACATGGGCTTTTGGGTGAAGTGGCAGAGGTTATGTTGTTTTGCTCCCATTAGTGGTGTGATTGGTAAAATAAATAAAAATTGGTTAAGGTGGTAAATTTGATGTTTCACATATTTTGCCACCATAAATATTTGGGGTAGGGGAGGAACTGAAACAGGCTCTCCTGGAAGAAGAAAGAATAGAAGTGATGGAAGGCATTTTAGTCCAGGTCCCCTTGCAGCTGCTGGTCTTGCAGTGTGAGCCACAGGACTGGGACATTGGGGAGGAGCTTTGTTCTTTCTGTCACAGCCAGGGACCACACAGACAAAATGAGCTCTCTGGATCTCCAGCTGAGCAGTGGAAAGGGGGTCATTTGCAAAGGAGAATAAATTGTCAGTGGCAAGTTCAGGTCTTAAGAATCCTTGCAGAAGGTTTTGATGGAAAGGTTAAAGAAGAGTGCACAAGTCCTGCAGCAAATACCAAAGCCTTCATTTATTTTCTGACACCCAGGACCAGCAGAAGCCCAGGGTCCTCAGAATGTGGAATAGAGGGGTGGAATCGGGGTGTGCTCGCATGGAGGGTCAAGTCCTAGTGCTCCCACATGCACTGGGGAAAGCCATCAGTTGTGTGTTCAACCATATCTTTCAATAAATTATGATGTCTGTACGTATGTCAAAACATTGAGCTAAAAGGGAAAAACACAATCTCTCTCTCTCTCTCTCTCTCCCTCACTACTGAGCCAGCCCTTTATTTTATTCTGAGACAGGGCCTTGTTAAGTTGCTTAGAGTCTCAGTAAGTTGCTGCAGCTGGCTTTGAACTTTTTTTTTTTTTTTTTCATTTTGGTACCAGGGATTGAACCCAGGGATGCTTAACCACTGAGCCACATCCCCTGTCCTATTTTGAATTTATTTAGAGACAGGGTCTCTCTGAGTTACTTAGTGCCTCGCTTTTGCTGAGGCTGGCTTTGAACTCATAATACTCCTGCCTCAGACTCTGAGCCGCTGAAATTACAGATGTGAGTCACTGTACCTGTCAACAATCCCTCTTTCTTTTTAAGGACCTCCAGAGGAAAGCCTGAGCTTTGTAGAATTTGAAACATATTTTTACTATATCCAATAATTTATTGGATCCCACTTCATTGTAAAAGGCTAAGGTTACAATCTTAGAGATCAAGGAAGTTATTTACTCAGTACTCATAGTTTAATGAAAGAATGACAGTTCCAATTAAGATATTTTAATTGCTCAAGGCTCCTAAATATGAGATAGAGCATATGATATTGAATCATGTTGACTACCTTGATAACATAGAAAGTATCAATAGTCAAATAGAACAAAAAGACAAAATATTCTTCTTTTCCAACATATCATGTAAAATAATTTTGTATATTTTTTAAAAATATTTTTTTGTTGTAAATGGATCTTTTTTATTATTTATTTATATGTGGTGCTGAGGATTGAACCCAGGGCCTCACACATGCCAGGCAAATGCTCTACCACTGAGCCACAACTCCAGCCCTCATTTTGTATATTAAAGATGCAAACACCCAAGACTCCAGGAGCAGAATGAGGATGTTAGTGAACGTCCAGTGTGCTTTCTACTTGTGAGAGCTCCTTGTATGAAGGAGTGTGGAGGAGGAAAAAGAGCCTGTAAAAGAGGCCAAGTCGTAAATTGTGCAACAATCTGAGTAGAATGATGAAATGTCACACTGTCCCACTCTGTCCCACCTGGGAGGTAAATCATCTCTGTCTAGCGTATCCACACTGTATATGCTACCTGCCCATTAGGCACTTAGTAGCCATCTGAGTTTTCAGAACAGTAGTATAGTATTGTGGTGCTGGGTTCAAACCATTAAGTAGTAGCCTTATGGTATACCACAATGCCAGTGTCATTCACCTCACTTCATCTCGTCATGTATGTATTTTATCCTGTCACATCAGCACAAGAAGGGTGAGTACAGTACAATACAATTTTGAGAGGGAGATGAGAAAGAGGAAAACCACATTCCAATAGCCTTCATTCCAATATGTTATTATATTAGCTTATTATTCTATCTTTATTATTGCTGTTAATCTCTTTTTTATTAATTTCTTTTAGATATTGGTAGACTTTTATTTATTTATATGTGGTGCTGGGAATCGAACCCAGTGCCTCACACATGCCAGGCAAGTGCTCTACCACTGAGCCCCAGCCCCAGCCCTGTTGTTAATCTCTTACTGTGCCTAACTTATACATTAAAATTTATCATGGGTATGTACTTATCAGGAAAACAGTATGTACGGCACATGGCACTCTCTGTGGTTTCAGGATCCATATGGATCTTGGAATGGATGTCTCCCAGATAAGGGGGACTACTGTACAGAAGTACTGTGAGGTTTCCTCAAAGTCAGGATGTCCATTTAGAGCTGAAACTTGTAAGGTGTCTTCTATTTCAGGGACTCGAACAGTTTCCTAAGGACCACTTTCAATTTTCCCAAAGTTTATAAAAGACTCCAAAGCATGGGGGCTGTTTAGGAAACAGAGCCAACTGTGTGTGGGGGGATCCCACCCACGTTTGCCTTCCCCTGCTTCTTCTGAGTTCCTGTGAGCCTTGGGGTAGAGGCTTGGCAAAGCTGCAAGATGACAGGGAAGGTGGCCGTGGACCCTGCTCTCCTCTTGACACTGAAAGTGCATTTGTTATTCCAAACAGCCAACTCAAAATTGCCTTTGTTTCACATTTTCAAAGGGGGAAAAATCAATCTACAGCTTAGAATAAAGTCTTATGTAAACCAGAAACATCCGGGAGGA